TCGCTCGCTCACTCGTTCATGAAAGATCATATGTTTCCCAGGTTCCCTTGCAAAGGACTTGGCGAAGGGCGCGCGCGCGTCGTCGCGCGCGCATGCCCGAATCTTGCAAAAACTTTAGGTCGCGCAAGGATTGCAAAATCGAGCGCCCAATTTTTCTAACCGACAAATGGTTTCGCAACGCGGATTCTCACCCCGCCCCCTTTCCAAAAAAAAGAGCGCGCGCGTTCGCGCAAATTCCAAGAAAAAACCATGGTTTTTGTTTTCAAGATGTTCAGAGAGCGTTACCAAACGGGCTTCGCGCGCGCGCGCCCAAACCGTTCGGGCGCCCTTGCGCGCGCGCCGTCGCGAGAACCTTTTGCAAACAACGGGGCGAAGCAAGCGCGCGCGCTCGCGTTCCTGCGCATTCTCAAGAAAACCATAGGTTTTCAACGCGTTCATGGAATTCTACCAAACGGGCCCCTGGCGCCGAAACCGCGCGGGCCACTCTCGCGCGTCGGCCGCGCGCGCGCGTCGAACTCTTTTTAAAACCTTCATCGCCGGCGCGAGGGCGCCGTCATTGTCGTCGGCGCGTTCAGCATCGGCGCGCGCACTGGCCGCGCCTTCGTCGGCGTCAACATCGTCGCTGGCATCGCTGCTATCATCGCCGCGTCTACCGCTGTCGACGTTGCCATTGCACCGCGCGCGCCCAAGTCGCCGACTCGCAGTGAAGTGCCCGCTGGGATGCGCCCAGCTGTCAGCGCCGCCGCGGCCGCGTCGGCGGCGCCAAACTGGCCGGCCGCTGCGCGCGCGCAGGGGTTGGCGAGGCCGCAGAGATGCACCGTCTAACGTCAAGCACGCGTCGCAATCGCCGCCGCATGGGTCATGCAAACCAAGTTGCGGGTGGGCGGGTGGGATGTTTGCAAGAGCATCGGTTGTGTCGACTCGTTCGTTAACAACGAGTGCACCGCGCGCGTTCTTCCTTCCACAGGAATATTCGGATCTACCCCACCCGCCCCCCTGGACTTAATGGCCGCGTGCCATTTCGCATTGCAATTTACATATGTTTCTGCCCCATCGCCCATCCCATATAACTTCCACCATCCCAGGCAGGCTGGCCCCGACCCCCCCGCCATCCTCTGCAACAAGTATTATGCGCGCGCACTCGTTTATCAAAGCCATTAGTTTTCAGTGGCCCATTGCAGAAGACGCGGCGAAGCGCGCGCGCGTCGTCGCGCGAACGCGCCGACATTTTCTTAAAACGTCAGGCGTCGCAAGGATGTCAACGTCGAGAGCCCAGAGAAACAGTTTAACACGCGGGGTTTCGCAACGAGGGTGTTCAAAAACAACGAATGAACACCGAAAGCTTACACGCGCGCGTCTGTGCGAGTTCTTCGGGAAATCCGTAGGTTTTCAACGTGTTCATGACCTGCTACCAAGCGGGCTTCGCGCGCGCGTCGGAATCGCTCGAGCGCCCTTGCGCGCGCGCTGTCGCGAGAACCCTTGTGCGCAAGACGGGGTGAAGTGCGCGCGCGCGTCGTCGCGCGCATGCCAAACTCTTTCAAAAACCTCCCTGGTTTCGCAAGGATTCCAAACCGAATATCCCGAAGCCATATAAAACCACATGGTTTCGCAACGACAGTTTTCCAAACATCTTGCGCTCGCGCTCTGGCGAATCCTTAGGACAACCACAGGTTTACCAGCATGTTCATGGAATTCTGCCAAGCGGCCCCTTTCGCGCCGCATGCCGAGATCATTCGAACGCCCTTGCGCGCGTGCTGGGGAAGGGGGGGGGGCGATCCGGGCTAACTGATACCATGCGGGCCACTTTCGCGCGTCGGCAGCGCGCGCGTGCCGAATTTTTCCATCGCGTTCATCACCGACGCGAGGACGCCGTCATCGTCGTCGGCATGATCAGCATCGGCGCCGTCAATGGCCGTGCCGCCGTCGCTGTCAGCATCGTCGCTACCATCGCCGCTATGATCATCGTGTCTACCATTGTCGACGTTGCCATGATACCGCGCCCGCTCAAGTTGCCGACTCGCGCTGAAGTGCCCGCTGGGATGTGCCCAGCTGTCAGCGCCACCAAGGCCGCGTCGGTCGCGCCAAACTAGCTGGCCGCTGCACGCGCGTGCATGCGCGGGCTGGCGCGGCCGCAGAGGTGCACCAGCCGACGCCAAGCACTTATCGCAATCGCCGCCGCATGGGTTTCGCAAACCAAGTTGCGGGCGGGTGGGTGGGATTTTTGCAAGAGCATGGCATGTGTCAATTCGTTTGTAAAAGAAAACCAAATGCACCGCATCTTTCGCATTACGTAAGATGCATCGCGCACATTGCGCCACATCGGCTGCACCGCATAGATTGCAAGAACTTACTGTTTGGGGTCCGCGCTGGCTAACACATGCGATTATCATCCGCAAGGGCTTCGCCCCATGCCGCCGGTCCCCTCTATCATGATGGGATATACCAGGGTCGCGTCCGTGCGTCTCGGCGCTGCTCTGGCGCATCTGAGAACATCATGCGGGGGCGGATAGGAACCATCAGCGCACATTGAGACGTTAGCGTTTATCCGAATGGCCTTCAGCCCATCTCGCCATCGTGTTTGGGTTGTGGGAAGGAGGCGTCTTATACAGGTGTTACGGTGTCGAAGGGAGCCTCTCGGGGGCCGCTTGGAGGCGGTTTCGGCGCCTTTGGGGGGCCTCGTATGGGCTCGTGGGGTATTTTTTGGGGTCTATTGGGGGCCTCTTTGGCGCGTTTTGGGCGTGTTTTGGGGCCTCCTGGGGCCTTCTCGGAGCTTTTCGGAACGCTTCTTGGGCCATCTTGGAGCCCTCTCGGGCCGTCTTGGGGCCCTTGTGGAGGCGTCTTGGGGCGGTCTTGGGAGCTTCTGGAGCCATTTTGGGCCGTCGGAAAGTCGAAAATTCGAGAACCCCAAACTCATTCAAACACTTCTGTAAAATCGATGGTGTTGGCCTCTTGTGACTCTCTCGGGAGGCCTCTTCGAGCGGTCTTGGGGCCTCTTGGGGCCCTCTTGGGCCGTCTTGGAACCGCCTTCGGGCGCCTTGGAACACTTTTGGCCTCGGCAGTACGAGTACGGCGTAATTTGCTAGGGTTTGTGGCCACGTTGACGCGAATATTGAATCATGGTCGATGGTTTGCTGCCTCGGGGACGCGACTAGGGAGCAATGTGCAAAGGCTTGTGGCCTCGGGGGCGCGAATACGGTTTAATTTGCATTGGGTTACGGCGCCGGGGACGCGCCTATTCAGCATTTTGCAAGGGTTTGTGGCCTCGGGGACGCGAATAGCATGTATTTTACTACTACAGATTTTTGTTTCGGGTGATTTACGAGGGTTCGTTGCCTCGGGGACGCAACTGTTTAATATCATGTACGGAAGGTTGTTGCCTTCGGGTGCGCAACTATTGCGTATTTTGCGAAGGTGTATGGCTTCGGGGGCGCGACTATTGAGTAATTTACTAAGGGTTGTGGCCTCGGGGACGCAGTAATTGTTAATTTGCAAGTGTTACTTGCCTCAGGGACGCGGATATTATTGCATGGTGTAATTTACAAGGGATCGTGGCCCCAGAGGCGCGAATGTAGATTAATTTGCGGGAGATCGTGGCCTCGGGGGCGCGAACGTGGGGTGTTTTTCAAAGGATCGTGGTTTCGGGGACGTGAATGCGGTGCAATTTATGATGGATCGTGGCCTCGGAACGCGAACGCAGCGTAATTTACGAGGGGCTCTTGCGTCGGGAGCGCGAATCTCATGTATTTTTACGTGTCCCACGGCCCCGCAGGAATTCAGAGCACGCGATTTAGGGGTGGTAGCCGGGTCTTTCCCCCCCCCTCGCGCGGACTTCAACAATTTTGCTTGCCGCCAGGGTGCCCTGGGTTTCTTGGGTTTCGATGGTTTTGCGATGGAGAACGTGACGCTCCCACACCAGAAATCGATGGACGTCCTGGGGTCTCAGGGATAGGCTTCTTGTGGAAGGTTTCTTGTGGTCCGGCCCCCACTGTATGATCTTTTCAGTCGGGGCCTGTGGGAGCCCGCTCTGCACACGGAGTCCCGGCAACCTGCTCGCAGACAAGCGAGGCCAACAGCGCGATGGGTAGAGACGATATGCACGAGTGTGCGGAGATGGTTTGGGGAATTGCTGCCGCGGCAGATGAGCGCATCGACGTGGCCGCAACATGAGTCGGAGCATTGTTTTGCGCATCGTGAGTGAGCCTGGTAGTACAGTCGGGGCGCTGAGGAAGGAACCCTTTTCGTTTGGGAGGGGCTCCGTGTTCGTCAGCTGTTGTACAGCCTACCTTGGGTTTTCCTTAGGCTTTCGATGGGCAATCGAAGTTCAACTTATGGGAAATCTTTACGCTTCGCGTATCCCCACCAGCCCATCTCACAGCAGCGGACCCCCCTGACGACCCGCGGAACTCCCTCTCCAGGTCCAGGGGGAGGGGGTAGGGGGAGGGGTAAACCCCTCCCCGAAGGGGAAGATAGGGGGTTAGGGGGTTGAGGACAGAGCGGGCTCTCTAAACCACTCACGCCCAAAGGGCTGGTGGGAATAGGGGCCTCGTTCCTTGCTTATCGTTCCTTGGGTCAACGCCTCGACTGTAGGCCCACCCTTGCCAGCAGCACGCATCCAGCTGCCCCCTCTCCGGCGCTCCGGCCCCGCCCCGCGCGGGCCCCCTCGCGCAGGGCACTCCCGCGGGCGCCGCCGCCGGTCGGGGCCCGCTTTTCCTCGACCTCCAGGGGCTCCCACGAGGGCGAGGAGTGAGTCCTCCTCCTCCCCCTCCTCCTCCTCCTCCTCCCCCTCCTCCTCCCCCTCCTCCTCGTCCTCCTCCCCTCGTCCTCCCTTTCGTCCTCGGCTTCGCGGCCCTCGTTCCTCCTCCCCCTCCTCCTCGTCCTCCCTCTCTCCCTCTGGGGGGGGGCGGCGCGAGAGCGCGAAGCGGTTCGAGCTTCGCGGAGCGCGAGGGCGCGAAGCTGGGAGCCCTTGTGTCGGACCTGGGGACAGCAAAGACGGCTCGGAGGCGGAGCTCTGCCCCATCCGGCCGGGGAGCTGGCAGTGCTCTCCTGCACGGCCGAGCTCGAGTGCACCAGGGGTGGCCAGGCCGAGGCGGCCCGCTCTCCGACGCGGTGCAGCCTCTCCGTGACGCGGCCCTTCCTCCAGGGGCTGGAGGTTCATCCCAAGTTGATCGGGGCTCAAGAGGCGGGGGTCAATGCAAACGGGGGTTGGCCAGAGCGCCGGATCTTGGAGGATCTTGGCAGGGCCAGGGGCGCACTGACCTGAGCTTGGGCGCAGGATCCCGCAGGAGTTTGCACGATCCTGCAAGGCCCGACGGACCTGGGTTTGGATTGACCGGAGTCAGTAGATCCCCGAGCCTTTGGCGGTCCAGGTCTGGGAGACGGCTTCCGGGGGGCCGTCCGTCAATATTCGTGTGCGTCGCAGTTTCCGTTGGTTTGGTTCCTCTGCTGGCGGGGCCGTTTGTCTGGGGCCCAGGGAACGCTTGGTATCGCTCGGACGTGCGCACTTTTTCTCGGCGGGGATCATTGAGGAGCATCCTGGATCATCCTGCGAAATAACCACGCACGAAACCGAAAACAGCACAGGGAATGGACGTCCGAACGATGGCCAGAACGTCGCTATGGACACATCATATCGTGGTGTTTCTGTCTTACTGTTCGTTTGTTGTTTAAGCCGTTGTTTTCTCCTCGCTGTGCCCTTCGGACCCCTCTCCTCCGATGCAACTCCTGGGAGGTCAAATTCTGATTTCGCCCTGGTCCGAAGTCCAGCTACATCCGGCCTAATCCGGCTTAATCCCGCTTCATCCGGCTTAGTCCCGCCGAATCCGGCTTGATCCCGCTGGGTGCGAGGCCCAATTTGGCGCAACAGCGCCCCATTGGGGCGTAATCCTCCTCGCAATCCTTCCGACGAAGACCTCCCAGCAGTTGCTTCCTAGCCTCCCGTCGGCGCCGGGCCCTGCAGGCTGCCGCGGGCGAGCGCAGGACGAGGAGGCGGCGCAGGGCGCCCGGGGAGCTGCCCGGCAGCCACGCCAGGCCTCGGCCCCGCGCGATGGGAGCGCTGCGTCCGCGCGCCGGGGTTTGCTACCAGAGCTGCGACTGAAACACTGTTCGCACTATATTTTTGTTCGAGGGATGATGCTTGTCTTCTGTTTGATGCGAGCTGTAGGCTAGCTGCGGAGCTGAGATGCACACCAATCGACAGGAAATGCTGAGACGCGCAAGTGTCTGAAGTGTGTGGCGTGGCGCGGCCGAGCCGTCGCAATTCGGCACGGACGAGATGGGCACGGGAAGAATGGGTACAATGCCCAACATCAGTTCCTCTTCCTTTTGGACAGGACTCGCTGGCCGCGCCGCCGAGGCCTTTTCCCATCTGACGCAGAAGGCCGCCTGCCCCACAGCGGCCGCTGCTGGTCTAGGGCAACGTCTGCTGTCGGGCATTGTGCCCACTGTTCCCGTACCCATCTCGGGCGTCCAAAGCAATTGCTCAGGAGTCAGGCGTTTCGGGCCCTGGGACCCTCACGGATCGACGTGGCCCGAGCAGAGCAGCAGAAGGATGGGGCCGTGATTCCCGGCGATGCGGCACTCTTTCGCAGCGTCGGATCCCATGGGTAATATCACCTGGCTGTCGTGTTGCCTCTGAGTGGCTCTCTGGATGCCGCTGGGGGGCCTCTTCGGGGCCCATGAGTCGAATAACGAACAACGGCATAAGTATCATTTCCCTGAGGTCCGCGCGGGTTTCTTGGATCGTCGCTGGACCCCTCTCCCTGGCGGCGCCTCCGCCGACGCCTCTGGCGCGCTCCGCGCGCCAGGGAGGGGTCCGGCGCCGATTCAAGAAATCCGCGCGAACCTCCGACAGTATGTTCACGCAGTTCTTCCTTTCGGTATTTGAGCGGTTTCGTGGATGCCGCTGGGGGGGGCTGTTCGCTCTTCGGGGCCTCTTGGTCATTCGGGACATCTCGTAGCGACGGAACAGCGGGCTCCCAGACTATGCTCCTGAGGGCCCCTCGCGGCCGTTCTCATGGCGCCCCCCTGGGCTCTTTTGGGGTCCCATTGGGGCTCCTCGTGGGGCCCTCAGGGGCTATCTTGGGGCAAACTGCGGCTCTCTAAACCTTACGATTGCTATCACTATTATTACTATTAGTACGATTGCTACGACTGTTCCTATTACTACGGCTGCTACTATTCTTACTACAGCGACTACTACTACGACGATTACTAATACTACTATTAATTCTATTGCTACTACTCGTATTGTATTCCTACTGCGAATAGTACGCTTACTACTCGTACTACTACCACGATTCCTACGGTTAGTTTTATTGTTATGACTAGTAATACTATTACTAGTACGATTACGACTAGTACTACCACTACGACTACGACTACTATTACTCCTATGACTATTTCTACTACTTCTAGTACTACTACTTCTAGTACTACTACATCACTACGACTACTACTACTACTACTACTACTACTACTACTACTACTACTACTCCTACTCCT